AGCAGGGCCAATGAGTCGGTTACAACTATCTTCTCGACAATGTCTATTACGGTGTTGAAGTCGACGTCCCGCGTATTCATAAACTTCGTGGTTTGCTGGTAGGTCGATAGGATCTTATCTTTATCAAACTCAGTGAATTGCCTGAGGAAGTACTTAATCATTGCATGGTCGGTCACCTCCGGGATCCGCAATGCCACGAGAGTGAACGCCCTCAGAAAATCGTTATATGTTGCAAAATTCTTTCTTTGTACCACAGCCCGGCTGCCATATATTTTCTCATCATCACGTTTCGGGCCTCCTTCCAAGATCCGCTAGTGGCGACGATAGCCATTATGCCCCTTCCTAGGTTCGGCGAGACATGTTGCGCTAGGTGCTCCATTCTCTTCCTCACTCCATCTCAGGAGTGTTGCTAAGTTCTCATAGTCTAGCAGGAACTTAATGATATTTGCCCCATCGAATGCCAGTTTCTTCTTGGCATCTGCCAGATACCCCTGATTCTTATTTAGCGCTCGCATGAGGGACGACACCATCTTTCTAAGTCCCCCCTCGGCTCCTCCTGTTCCGCCAGTGACACCGGAGCCTTGTTCTTCCTTACCGACTTCTACTCCTTCTCCGGCCTTTGCCGTCCTTTCAGGGTCGAACCATCCCAGCACCCTCTCTTTCAAGTTCCAAAGTCCTTCGCACCCCCTTGCAATTATGGGTGAGGCTGCCGGTCGACTTGCCATGTTGTCGATAGCACGTGGGTTGGTAGCCTTTTTTGCCTCCCTTCACGGAGATTCCGTTCTCTCCTTTCCTTTCTTGGTCAGTGTCTCTCTACATCCCCCTTCCTACCCTTCTTTGTATAACATCGTCTCGACTTCCTCGCCCCGGATTTGTACCTTGTTCGTCGCGCGACCTTTCTCCAGCGGAATCCCCCTCGCCCCGCATTCATAATCTCTTCCATGAGTTTTGGTTTATATTCCGCCGTTCTCCTCTCTATTTCGGCTAATTTCTTTCGAGCGTTCGTTAGCCTTACCTTCTTTGACAGCGCGCCTTTCGATGCCCGTGGCGTCGGGCTGCCTTTATCCCTATCCCCCCTAGTTCCCTGAGTTCCTCGTTTGCTACCTCCGGCTTTTCTTGGGCTTTCCCCGATAACAACTTCCTTCCTACCTTCCTTAGTACCCTCCGGATTCATCGACTCTCGGTCCCTCATGGACCCCTCGTTCCATTCTACATCCTTCTCTAGGCTCTGACGCCCCTTGCTTCGCAGACTCCCTGCCTCTTCTTCAGTTGCCATCCTTCTGTAGACCTGCACATAGGAAATTTTTTTTTTGGGATGGTCGTTTGTCCAAAGTTCTTAGGATTTCCAGGTCCTAAGGTTCATTGTCAGTTTCATAATCTTTGCCTTTTTCTATATTTTTATTTTTATGATGGTCGTAACGGGTCTGCGCTCCTTTCTTAGTTTGCGGGGTATCGCTCGCTTTTCCTGTTGGAAAGCCTGCCGTTATGGGTCGGCGTTTTGACACCACCGCGTATCGGCTTTTAAGGCGGCCTGTCCATGGCTGGTGGGCCCCTCTTTCGGAGATGACCTTTTGTCTTCTCGGCCATCCTAGTCCTTTCCTGACACCCCCTTAGATAGAGTAGGACCCCAGCTGCTATCTCCCGCAGATTGCTATTCTCGCTTTTGTTTAGCATTTCATAGATAGAATCCACATTTGCCACCTTCTCCGACATTTTCTCACACCGGTTCCTCAGGCTCGTCCTATTCGACAGACTCTTCGAACAGGCTAGCCACCCCTGCAAGACAGTTCTCACCCATCCCTATTTCCTTAACAATTATTGGCTCATATTCTTCGTAAGTCAGTCATGGCGTCCCAAATATGAGGATCTCGATGAGCTCTAGCAATTCCCGGGCCCTATTTCCCCAAAACGGTTTGTGTTTTTTTTTTTTTTTTTTTTTTTTTTTTTTTTTTTTTTTTTTTTTTTTTTTTTTTAACGGACACATCGTATAACATTCCCGTTGTTTGTGGCTGGAAGTGGTGTATCCAAATTAAGGTTGCACTCACCAGGTTCCTTGTCCTCGCGAGGCTCCCGAATACCAGGTCTATCATGAAACGGGTACTCGACACCGCAATCCTGCCATTGGGGCTCTATATTCTCGCCATCCTTCTACTTCCACCCGAGTTCTCAACCCTACATTCCTCGTTCCTCGAATTTCTTGGCCTATCCGGTTCAACGCCTTGGCTGCTCTTCGAAAGATTGGTAGCAGCCCATGCCCTAGTGCCATCTCGGTCCCTAGCATGTGCCACCCAATTTCAAGCAAATACATGGTCCCAGTCACCCTCAAGTCGGTGTACAAGTCATCTCCTGGCCCCCTATTGAACCTCATGCCATTCCACAGGCATTCCACCATCATAAAGGTTTGGCTTCGTCCCAAGGTCACGACTCGCCATTCTACGTCGATCCCTCGAACCTCATAGCTTGCTGGGAGCGATACTTCCCATCCGTTACTGCTTTCCACGGGTGGTTGCGGGTGCGTGGGTCGTCACGACGTTCGGGTGCGCCTCGTTGCCATCGCCGGTTGGTGGGTTCCTGCATGGTTCAGACAAAAAGTAAATCCTTCTTATTCCTTCCATGGCCCCGGACATCCCTAGCTGTCCTTTTGCTTCCTACCCTATCCTTTCCATCCCCTTTGTTTTTCCTTTCCTCTTTATTGGGCTGCCTCCTCTTCTTGTAGCTCGAATAAACGATAGACGTCGTCTCTGTAGACCATTCCGCGACTTACTTCGCACCTAATGACTCCCCATAGAGTTTCATGACTTATTAGTGGGATCCTTGGTCTCGTTGTCACGGCCGCACGCAAAACGTGTAACACTACGTATCTCTGTTCTTCCTCAAACGGCCCCATCTCTAGAAAGGCCCGGTAGTATTCTTGATACACTGACGTTTCTTCGAAGCTTAGCCTAGCTAGTGCAACGACCACCTGCTCAACTCGTTCCAAGCCTATCATTCGTCTCAGTAGAAAGGACGGCAAGCTCACTCGTACGATTTCGTTTGGCAGGGTAAAGGTTCCTGCCATGACGGCTCTTACTTCAGCCGTTACATCGTCCCGCTCCGGATCCGCGAATTTGAACCCCTCTCGCCAGGTTAGTTGCCAAGCCCCCTCAAGCATTCGCACAGGGTCTCCCCCGGATGCCAAGGTGATTCCAAAGGTGCGCCACCCTTCCTCCGACAGGTACAGCGAACCCGTGGCGTGTACCCGTCCCGGAAGATCCAAATTCACCCCCCTGAATTCCCCTCTTGCATGCCATTCCAATTCCACCACTAGGTACCCTGTATCTTTCACCAGCTTTATTCCCACCCAGTCCATTACCGGGTTGCTCACCCCATTCCTTGTCGGCATACTGATCTCTACCCTGTTGTCTATCTTGTTTGGCGGCAAGACCTCACGGGGCCTGTTCTCCCAAAGCGTCATTCTTAGAGCCATCCTACAGAGCCTCCGTTCGCGTTTTCTTTCAGTCCACTGCTGCATCCATCGGGATTCCACTTGCTAGATTTAGTCCTTTCATCCTTACCGTGATAATCTCCCTACCACTGTTTTCTTATTTCCGACCCTGGTCCTTGTTCCCTACTTTCTTTCCATCCTCCTGCCGCCCATTGTTGGCGCCCTTTCCATTTTAGGGGCCGTTGTCGGAGGGCGTGGTGTCCCGGCCCTCTGCTGAGTACCCAATACCTGCTCAAGGACCCGCTACTTGTTACCAGCTTGGGAACCTGTGTGCCGCATGGGCTTTCGCGGGGTACGGATTTTTGCAATGCTCCAGGCAGACCGAAGGTGGCGTTCTGCTGCAGGCCGGTCCAGCCAGCGCTTACCTTAGGAAAAGGGTGGGGGTGCGCCACAGGACTTTCCTTTGGTCCACATAGGCTTGGCGCCCTGCTGTACAGTAGACCACTACTGGCCTGTGGCCGCAGTAGCCGCCAGGCTCGCTCAGGGACACGAAGGTAGAGGGAACGGCGCAGTCTTTTCTACCGCACACCAAGTGCCTCGTAGCTAGGTTATGGGTAAGATGCACGGGCCTGCTGTCACAGTCGAACAAAAGAGGATTAGGGAAGGAAAAAGAAAGGAAAATTAAAAGTGAAAGGGAGTTATGTGTCAGATCTTCACGCTGATCTGGACCCTCGCCTTAGTTTGGGATGATCTAGCGACTTTTGGCTGCAGCGGCATTATAATTTCCTTCCTTTTCATATTTTTGTTATTATTATTATTAATTTTATTAGTTGATTCTTTAGACGCTGCTTCCTCTTTTGGCTTTTCGTCACTTCGCGGGAAGGAGTGCAAACGGTTTGATTTCGAACTTCGATTGCAACTCGGTGGCCTCCCTTCACTTATCACCCTGTGGTTGACATGTCCGGCTGAGCGCCGCGCAGTGGGACCCCAAAAGAGGGGCAACCCGCGACGGCATTGGTAGGAGGCTTATCATCCCCCGTGGAAGGTCATGAGCCCCCTCCTTACCATCGGACTCGGGCACCCTTAGGAGTAGACCGATGGCGTGTTTTGAAGGGAAGAGTGCGCCCGTCGATATCCCGCTATGGGACCACTGCTTCGGGCCTCTAGTCACTTCACGAGGACTAGCGGTTGGTAGTAGCGCAGTGAGCTTTTCTCGTGCCCTGACCGTTGAGATTCGGTCCCGCTCCTTTCTTAAATTGCTTGATTTACTTTATTTTATTATTTTGAAACTCTATATTGTTAATGTGAAGAATTTGGAAACAGCCAAGGGGCTATTTGAATTTTTCATTTAGAACACAGGGATCTCGATAAGTAGTGATCCTATAAAGAGTGAGGGGGGATAAATCATTGGCTGTTGGTTTGTTAGTGAAGGCCAGATGTGCTTCCGAGTTTCTGAGAGTTGGGACACTGACCATGGCCAGCTGCATGGTAGTATCCCATCTGCACTGTGAGCTCTGGCAGAGAGTGGCACATAGAGTGGCGTGTTGTTCGAGGTTGACGGCCTGGTACCGTGCAGTCTATTGAACGAAGCCTGGCTATGGCGCGTAGCAATGGCCTTTTTGGCTATAGGCCAGGCCATTTGAGGTTCTATTGGAGCTGGGAGTCTATGCGCGAAGAGGGGGCTACAGTGGATGCCTGCCTGGGCCTCAGTAAAAGTGACGGGCTGGCAAGACTAAAGATAAACGTCTACGAAGGGAAAGAACAGGAGATGAGGGAGGATGAGAAAGTGCAGGGGGTAGTCATCGAGGCTCGCAATCAAGCCGAGCGGAGGTGCAGGAGGGATGGAGTGACTGTGGCCTTGGAGATTACGGTCACTTACCACGAGGAAGATAACTCCACGAGCACGACTGAGCGGGAGCAGCAGGAGCTGGACCGGGACTTAGAGGCCGAGTCCGAAGCCAGTGACGCGCAGACGCGGTCTTGGCACGGGATGGAACTGTGGAGTGTCGGCCGAGTCGGTAGAGGACGGCCCAGAGGCCAGCTCGACCCAGCGAAGAGACTAGGCTGTTACTAGGGGACTCCCAAACACGGCTGAGAGGAAGGCGGAAGTGGACGTCATGCGCCAGAGTACGCGCGCAATGCTGGTCTGTACTGTAACCGTAGTAGCCATCGCCGTGGATGGGGCCACCCGTCAGAGGCACTGACGTTCTCGCATTATCAGGGAAAGAGGGAGGAGCGACATGGCCGTGAGGGTCGCGGGTAAGTCTGTGAAGAAGGGGGAGCATGGCTCAGGTAGACGCTCAGTTGAAGTCAACGTTTTCTTAACGAGCTACGTCGTTGCTCGGTCGAGGAGGGTACGAGCTGTGGGGAGGGTACGAGCTGACTTTTGCACGAGCTGAATACAAGGAGAAGGAAGGTGCTGTTATGGGAGCCTCCCACGCGAATGGGTATGAGGGACGCGTGCGCCTCTGTATGGCCCGTGACAAGAAACGGACCATCGAACAAAGTGACAACGAGGGTTTTGAGAGCGCGCTTTCTCCAACAGTCAGTTCTGCTCCTCTAGGGTTGACGTCATCAAGCTGGGATGGATGAGCCACGGTTGGTCTAGTTTCTCCGCTAGCATCAGTTTTGAGCCAGTTGCGTGATATGCCATCAAACGGATCGGATTTACACAAAATGTTCTCGTGAGGGCGCGCTGTTGACATCATCTCTCTTACTGATGAAGGTCGCTCTCCTTGCTACCGCATGGCTGCACGATTCCTTTATCGGGTTTGCTGCTCGTAAGTACTAGCGTTGAACAGAAACGAGATTCCTAAGTTGGCGAGTATGTGCCTCTCGGGGAGAAGTGTATGTGCCCTACCGTAGATGTCAACCACTCTAGCAAGTAACCCCCGAATAACAAGCCTATGCGAACGAAGGGGCTAGATGAAGACGAGATGCACGTGAGCTATGGCGGGACCGAAAACATGATAAGTACTACTACCATCTCCTACATTCCTAGTCTGCGTTACTCATTGTGATAAGAAGGGAGGAGTGGATACGTCATGACGAAGGGATTGGCGCCGGTTGCTTCTCTGTTGTTTTGTGCAGAGGTAGACCGCGGGGTGCGTTGAGTCCTAATTTGCTAGCGTAAACACTTACTGAGGGAACAATTTCAAATCACGAGACTTTTATGGAAACCTGTGAAAAATCTAGCATTTGCTTTGTGATTGGCTCTTACTAGTGAATTTGTGTTTGAGTGCAATGAACAGACTTGGAATGTGGGTTGAGATAACTCAGATATAGGGGGTTGACACGGGACATGAGGCAGCACGTATGCATAATTGAACACGGGTAGTAAGTGTGTGCCTCAGGTAAAGTGAATGATCGAACTTCCTTTCTCCTCCACGAGTTTCTCTGGATGAATTCTGGTTATAAGCTGGGTTATACTTGCCCACTGGCAAAACACGCAGTCGTTTAAAGAAACCCTAGTTTTCTTGACTAGAGTGGGCAAGTAAGCCCAAGTCTAGAATGCTACAAGTGGACATCAACAAAAAGGGAAAAGTAGACAAGTCGTGTGACGAGATGTGTGAGTCTGTTTTGGGTGATAGAAGCCTTATTAATGGGAGGGAATGCTTTAGCACTGAGAAGGATTGTCCACGTTCCGACCCCCATCTGTAACTTTCCCCAATAAACTTTCGAATTTTGTCTTATCAGGTTGGGTCATAAAATTCTTTGAGTTACTACTGGTTCAACCAAATACTTACCCCTTCCTCCTTTTTTGTCACTTTGGTGTTAAGCTTGGGGGGCTTGGCATGTCTTCCTCTCTGAAAGCGAAGAGCACAGCTAATTAAACTAGTTTAGGTGGGCTCGTAGAACATATCTTGTTTTGTCAGCCTAAGTGAAGCTCTAGTCGACTGGTTATTAAACGAAAGCTTATAAGAAAAGGAAAGGAGTTAATCCTATAAGAGAGAGGGGGCGTCTAAAGAGAAAAGTTTGGTTGTGGGTTTTATTGAACCTCTGGATGGGAAAAGGGGAACGTTTCTGAGAAAGGTAGCTTATTTTCTTGTCAAATATTTAATTGATGGGGATTAGCTTCAATGCTACCATTTCTCTCGGGTCTAATGGGAGAATCAGAGAATGGGTTGGACCCTCGTCAGTGACCTATGGTTTACGGGAATCACAAACGGAGAGTTGTCCCAGTGCCCAGGCAGAAGGCTACACTGAACATGGTTGATCCCATTATAACAGGTCACCAAAAACTTGACATGCGGTAACTACTGCCTTATAGCGGCTTTGTTTAACCTATAATACCCCAACTTTAACAACAGTTTTAGCTGCTTAAGTGCTTCTGATAAGCTAACCTCAGTTCACAGCAGACTGGCGCAGATGCCATGCACAGTACCTTGAGGCCGTACACCATACAAGTTTGATCCATAACTGATGGTCAATCCTGCGAAGTACGAACGAAATCAAGCACTAGAGGTTGCGCTATGTGTTGTTCAGAAGGGGTTGAGGGTCTGATGCTAGCCTGAGCAGCGAGTTGCCACCTGTCAGATAGAAAAGAAGACTAAATGAGGAATGCAGCTGGTATTGGTAGTTTGTTGCTGGCAGCCTCATGCACGAGACTTAACCGAGAACTGAGAACTGACTCTATTTATATACTATTTTATTCGAGTCAGACATTCACCTAGAACTCCGCTGATCTAGGACTCTTTTAGAGGTGATTACTGGTCAATTCACAGTGGAAGTGCAGACTAGGAGCAGGGATCTGAGCACTACCCGTCTGGGATGAAGGGTCTCCTGTAGCTAGGACCCTGTGCACTACCCGAACGGATGACTAATGCGTCACTAGTCTTTAGAAAAGACCTGCTGAGGAAGTCGTCATTGACGAGTACGCTGTCCAATTCTTGAGAAAAACAATGTGGCTGGTATTGATCAAACTGTGGACCACCGTTTGGTTGAAAACCGAGTGGGAAAATCCCAATCGTTATCCCTAGCAGCAATTAACTCTACTCCCAGCCTCGCCCATGTTGTATGTGAGCGGACATAATGCATCCTTGATTCGTACTGGTAAACTGTCAGACAACCAACAAACGGCATGGGACCTTGATGACTTGTAGTTTACTGAAGGTCCTGCACTATCAGATGTTGAGAGCCTCGGGTGCGAGTTGACTGTTTGAGTCTGAGTGGCAGGTTTCTAATGGAGAAGATTGGTACAGACAACCTGAACTCAGCAGCGTCTCGACATTGTACGTCACCGGATTTCTTCCAACTCTGGTCCAATCCGAGGTGAAAACCAACAATAATTAGACGGTTAAGTCCAGTGAGAGACTAGTGATGAGTAATACACAGTGTGGGTCAACTACAACTTGCCGATGTCTTACCTCAACGCCACAGAAGCCATACGATCTGACTAAGGGCAAATCATCAAAAGTCCTTCGCGGTCATTGTCAGCAAGCAATTCATTAGCAGAAACCCGGGCAAAGAGATCTCTCAGACCCCAACGTTCTATGAACCTCTCAGTCTCACGCGCGAGGGCCAATGCAACGAGTCCTTGCAGAGAGACGGGGAGCGAGGGCACATTAAGAGTGACTTGCACGCTATACCGGGGTAAAACGGAAGGTTGGGAAGAGAATATCGTCCAAGATATCCATCATCATCTAAGACCCATGATGCGACAAGCTCTAGAGTTAGTGGAGGACCAGAAGCTCATTGAATGCACCTACTTTTATGAATCAGATGGAAAACCACACAACACCCTTTCATCCGTTGGACATTTCGATCATTCAAGAAAAGGGTTATCGCTGGTCAACAGTAAAATGATTTGGCCGCTCACTTCAGAGAGACCTGCAAACACTTGACAAGACATGCTCGAAGGGATAAGTGGAGTAATATCGAGGCAAGCCGCATTTTATCATTAGGAATCAGAAGAGAGACGAGTCGTAATCAGATGCGCATTATACTATTAAAATTCAAGCAGTGAAGTAATCAATGAAGTAATCAACACGGTCACCTCATTGGGACAGTCAGGCAAATCAAAGAGACCATCAAAACACAGCAACAGTTGTCATTCACATGAACACAATTCAATCATTCCCGATCAACGGGTCAGTCTCGACCAACCTCAATTAGATTGTTCTCAAATTTGCCTTCCAATATCAATACCTCAGTGCAGTCTGTTTGAGATAGGGAGATTTGTCAATCTTCGTTGTTCTCACCAGTTTCGCAGATGAAACTATTCATGACCTGAGACTCTACGTGAAAAAGGGCAGGGAAACTCATGAGCACTTTGATTTAGTATGGATCTCAGCTGCGGAGTATCTTGAGGAGAGAGAACGTGAGCTCGATGGGGGTGGAACAAAGCTGATCCGCAGCTTTGGGCCCAAGCTTTACACTGACTACCCCAAGCCTCCGGTACCATTCACTCTCACTGACGGTTCTTACTGGGGTGACCTAGTAGATCTGGCCAAGAGGTACATCTCCCCTGCAGCGATTGATTATGAGGCGGTAACCAAAGCCATCCGAGTTCCGGCATCTTAGACGATGGATTTTCTCCCAACCGTATCTTCCTAGTCTATGGGAGGAGTTTTGCATTATGGTTGACTTGCGCATTATGGCCCTCGGATGGAAGTGTTCGGAACTTGCAGGCTTTAGAAGGCTCTATATCCAGAGACCACAATCTCAGGGAGTACGTGGGCATGGCTCAAGGCACAGGAAGCACACAACCAGGTGAGAGATTGAGTATGTGACATAGAGGGATGAGTGAGGACTCTTGACAAGTGCTGGTCGTGTCTCTTCATGTGTACTCTCTGAGACTATTACCTTTGTCATTGCTCAAATAAGTCAGTCCTGCATCTTTTACGTTGTTTTGCTCAATGATCATTTTTTCTGATGATCCTGTCACAGTTCTCAAAAATTAGAAAATTGGCAAAATTGATGCATGCATGACGTACTAGAATTTTATGATTAATATCTGCATGATTCTTGCTGTTTCGAATCAAAATAAAAGAATCCTAAAACCGAGGACCGGCG